ATAGTGCACGGAGAGAACCGCAGGACACTCGGATTGGCCAAGGGCCACGACCGGTTACGGTATGGCAGCTCATAGAAAATGTGTGCACAAACCGCGCAGAATAGCCTGTTTGTGCATTGTAATACTGGTTCATACTGTAATAGTCCCTAATTTCTTATTAAGTATGCACATCTGTTATGTGCCCGGTCAGATTTGAGTGCCCGGGCAGATTATTTTACCGTTATCCCTGTGCTTATTATACAGGAGGTTGTTTAAATTTTTAGTTTTATTTAATTTTATGTGTACAGGAGTTGTGTGGTTCATTTTTTTTTCCTTTGGATCATTTATAGGGGGATGCACGGCAAGTACCACAAGCTACTCGGGTTGAACGACGCCCACGCGTTCCTAGACCCATTACAGTATGCCAAAATAAACTGGTGCACTAGGTTATACAATGTGCACGAGTGTCCGTAACAAAATTGATTTAACTGCAGGTTGATGCACTGGTACATGCGGCGGCGGCACGTGCTAGGAACCCTACTGCACGAGTAGGAGACGGGGCTACACAAACAGTGCACAACGCCACCACTACAAGTTCTATCCGGGGTATGCATATTGTTTCCTTACTATTGCACCGGTTGACGTTGCTATATTGTTTCTTTTCTAACCAACCGCTTGCCTGTAGGGGTTCCACCAAGAATTCGCAGCCATGACTAGGGACCTGCTAGCGATAGCCACACGGGTTGCAGAAACAATAAGGAAAAATCAAACACTAGCTTTCGAGGACCGAAATTTCCCGAGGATTGCCAACGTGGGTAATCTGTTATTAAGCTGGGCACGTAAAGGGACACCACAAACCGGCCCACAGACACCTCAACCACGAACCGGCCCACAGCCACCCCAACCACAAACCGGCCCACAGCCACCTCAACCACAAACTGTGACGACTGGCCATCTAGACGACAACCTTTGGCAAGACTCGCAATTCATAAGGGAGCTAGACCGGGTGGAGGAGGAAGCAAGACGAGCGATAATACCAAGGCAGGCACAACAGGTTGCAACGCAGGACACAGGGGACTTTGAGGCACCAACATTTAGTCTAGGGTTGACTCAGGAGTTCGCAACCACGAGGGCAGACGGCAACACGCTAGGGCCGTCAACTGTACACACGCCAACTCAGCAGGTGAGGGGTATTAATAGGTACAGCCATGTGAATTACGCGCGATTTGCATGGTATTTTCTAACTTCTAGGTGCAGGTATCCATGCAAGCGCAACCGGGAGGGGGGTCAACAGCACAGCCCGTATCCCCAGGGGTGAGAGCAGGCCCGGATCGTCAGCCAAGGACCACCGTTAGGGCGGCAGACCAGCATTTTGGCATGTTTTTCAGCACCAGCAATGGGTACCCTAACATACCGTTACCACCAGTGTATGTCGTTTGGATGTGGCTGTTCAACTCCCCACACGGTCATCGGTAAGTTGCATGGATGTCACGTGCGAATATATACAAGCCTGCGTTGGCTCCGTCATTTTGTCTTTAAAAAAAAGTAAAAATACAGGAATGAAGTTCTATTCCGCCATGCCACGCGCACAGTCAGATGGTATCAATTTTTAACATTAAAGGCAAGGACGGATGTTGGGAAACCAGTGGTAGATGCATGGTGCTCGGTGCTCAATGCAAGGGAGCAACCGGGGGGTCGGGACATGCCTTCTCGATTGTTTGTGTCAGCGTCGGCGACGGTAGTGTGGATCATGCAATTTAATTTACATTCTTCGCAAAACAGTCAACACATAATGTTACACTATATACAATTAACAAGAGTATATATTCTTCGTAGTGCACCCATTCAGCACCGCACTGTGCACAAACAAACACAATTAGCATCTTGGGTTTATATATATCTACTAACTAGTATTGGTGCAGATTGGGACGGTGGTGAACATTGCAGCCAGGCGGGATCAAAGGGTAATGTGGTTTCAACGGCGTCTTGATGCTGAATTCCAAACAAACTCACCATGTGGGGACAGCCACATTGGACATGGTAAGACGCCGGTCGTGTTCCGAATAGGCGATCCAATCGGCTACGCATAGCGGACATCGTAGGCTAACCACTATTATTTGGGTTTTGCAGTATTTCTTCCCCGTATTCCACGAGGCACGATTCTACGTGATGTGCGTAAGTTTTAAGCATAATGGGTTTCTCATCATAGACAGCTCACCGACGACTAGCGTGGGGACAGAGATGTACGGCGCAGCTCCAAATGAGTTGGTAAACATCATGCACCCTCAACACTTAATACTATTGGTTAAGTATACTCGCACACCTGCTGAACTAATCTTTTGTTTCCAGAGGGACCTCCTCGCCGCATACCTAGATAACAACCAGCACACTGTGCGGGCGCTGCGGTTGAGGAACATGCAGCCCGAGAGGATGAGGTTGGCGTGGTCAGACAACCCTACCAACGGTGACTCGGGAGTATACACAATGAGACATATGGAAGATTTTGTTGGTCAAGATCCCAGATATTGGCATTGTGGGTTGGGGACGGGGGATGCCGCAGTGATTGAAAATATGCGGACGAGGTTTCTGCATAACATCTTACTATGTACAGTCAATGCCAACATCGATGATATCCGCACACGGGCAGTGGAGTATGACCGCCATAGGGCCGAACAACTAATGGGAGGAGCACCACAATGAAAAACTCGGGTATGAGGTAGTGGCTGCTTAGATCTATTTAGGTTAGTGCACAGCCTGAGCAAAGTATTGGCTGTTTAATTTTGTTTAGTTTGGTGCGCAGCACTAGTCTTCATATGGGGTATATATACTTTTCCAGGCTGGAATAAAAATTTCTTCAATGTTATCTCTAGAAAATGCCGGCACAAATGCATGAAAGGGTTCGTAATTGTATTTAATTTTACACTACTAATTTGGTAAAGTACAACTTCAGTGAAATAAATACACCACTAATTTCATGCGACACATGAAATAAATTCACCACTTAATTTAACTTACTATCACCATAGACCATGAAAAGCACCAGGGGTATGAGGTTGAAATAAATGCATTATGAGAGGGAAAGGTAGGTAGCTTAGATAGTTAATTTAACACGAAATAAAAGAAACAAAAGACAGAACCATTCTAATTTGCTAATGATGATGGTATTTAAATTACATGCATGCAATACAGTGCACTTTTACTCCAATCCCATTATCCCATCTCCACCCCAATACCCCTTTCGGCATTTATATAATGCATGCATTGCATGCTTCAAATAATACACATTAAATTTACCACTGCAACAATATATGCATGCATAAATGCTTTAATCTTTTGTTTTTGTTTGGGTAGGGGTATATGCTTGAATTTGCTTTAAAATATTTACTCTATAACAAAGGTACACAAGCATTTGGAAACTTTTTATCGGTATTACAAGCTTACACCACAAGAGAATCCCTAGGACAACATATATTTTCCCCACATTTGAACACCTTGAATCCCTAGGACAAATTAACAGCAAACAGAATGATAACATGAGTATTTAGATCCAAGAACCCCACTTACCAGTCATAATGCGGGCAGCCAAACACCCACACCCACAAAAAAAAAAAATTAATAGTTTTTAGAAGGTTAACCAATCACCATTCAGGTACCACAGAAAGCAGACCCCACACACACTCCAAACACTCCAAAGTCATTATTAATAACCAGATACACATGCATCTGCACTCCAAAGTCATTATTAATAATCGGATACAAAGGATATAAACGTAGAGTTAATAAAATTAGCTAAAATCGCCAGAGGAATGAATTAATAAAATGGACAAACACTCCAAAGTCATTATTAATAACCAAATACAAAGGATAGAAACCTAGAATTAATAAAATTAGCCAAAATCCCAGTGTATCTAATCATAACCAGTAATGTCTGTTTGGGCGCACTAATCACTTCAACGGACAGCTGCGGGCATTATGATGTGCATACTCGCCGCACACCCCGCACTTTCTGCTAGCCTTGCCACTCCTCTCAATAGCTAACTCGCGTTGGCTTTTAATTCGCTTGCCGGTCCCTTTATTTTTTGCTTGAGCTGGCGGTTTGATAATTATGGACGTCGGCGGCTCCACACCGCACAAAGCTGCAATGGCAACACCGTTTCCTTTTGGGGGGTCAACGTCCATACCATCGCCCAGAAACTCGTCTCTTAATTCTTTTATTACCTGTAGCATTCGCGTTTGGCGCACTTTATTGCTTCCAACTATCACGGCACAATTGTGTATCTCAGTCCACAACTGACTAGGCACAGTTTCTAAAGGAGGGCAGTCAGAACATCGAGCACACCAGCTAGCTAGTCCTTCTTGCTTACACCATCGTGCTGCGATGTACCGCGATGGCAAGCTCACCATTTCGGCATCTTTGAACACAAGAAACATATGCCGGCAAACAAACCCCAATCTTTCAAACAACTTGCAGCTACATGTCGCAATAGTCAAAGACGGGGTATATTCAACAGTATGGACAACGTTGTACTCCCCTCTAATGTCGTAACGGATGCACTCACCATATGCATGGATCCCCACAACACTGCAATAAAAACATGCAGCTTCGATCTCTACCTGGAGCTCATAAAACACTGTTAAGGTAAATACCTGCGCCATGTGTCGCTCCAATGCTAAAGGAGTTTTGAAATCAGGCAAGGACCCTTCACTCTCAGCATTTAATTTACTTTGTCTGTGCCGTTGAGTTTCTAGGACGCTCTCAAATTGCACGTAGAACTCGACCAGACTACAATGTGGGCGTGTGTTTTTACCGTACGCACTGTTCTCCGCTTCTGAACGCGAGGTGGTACGTAGAACACCGCTCATGGGTAAATCTAAAAAATATGACGGAATCCAAAACCTCCGGTCTGTGTATAATTTAGTAAACCATCGGTGCCCCGTTAAGTTGTACTTCTCCATTAATGACTGCCATTGCGTTTCAAAATCATCAATGCTAATGGTCTCATTCCACACAATGTTGTTAAGCTGGTTACGGAAATTCTGATCTTTTGATAGTTCAGCCCCTGACTTCTCACTCACTTTGGTCATGATATGCCACATGCAGTAACGATGACGGCACTCTGGCAGTACTCGTGCAATAGCACTCTTCATAGCCGGATCTTCATCAGTTACGACGCACAAGGGGCTCTTTCCCATTGCTGTTTTAAATCTCTCCAGGACCCACACGTATGAGTCAGTGTCTTCTCGAGTTACCAACCCACCAGCAAACGTAATGCACCGTTTGTGATGGTCTACTCCGGTAAAAGGTATGAACACCAAACTGTACCTGCAATACAACGAGTTCACACGTTAGCATGGTGGCAACAAATTTAGTGATTCGGACGCCGCCCAATTCCCACTAACATGTCACCAACGTGCACTTAACATGAACAATACAAAAATTCACAAAAACAATATTAAGTGACTACTACATTTCAGTATGATTAGCATGCACAGAATGAACGGTGTAACGTTGACATACCTATTCGTACCATACGTTGCATCAAAAGAAATCACATCACCGAAACTCAAAAAATTTTGACGCCCGGTGTGGTCAGCCCAAAAAAGACGCGCAACATGGTTTCCTTCATCAAGATAGTAATCAAAGAAAAAGTTCTCACAGACGTCATGTTTTTGGTTAAACATTGCAATGATCATCTCTCCGTCCTTATCGGCACGTATGACTGAAGGTCCCGTTTGAAATTATGGAACTCCGTTTCTGTTGCACCAACGTTGGCGAACGACCCCACTGATTCCTTGTATAATCGGAAGCCTTTAGACCCACCCACGTTAACTTTAATACAATTCGTAAGGAACGCTTGCTGGGCCACGTCCAGTTTTCTGTTGATTCGCATAAACAGTTTCGAAGGCTCGGAGCACATGCGGTGGGTGTGTTCGGGAACAAAAATACTGACAATGAAGCCCGCACCTTTGTCTTTTGTGATGCAAATTCGAGCGTTGCAATTAACCCTATTAGATACTCGTCTCCTACGTTGAGTGCTCGGACCACCACTGCCACCCTCTACTGGTTTTGGGGTGCTTCTACCGCCACCTTTTACGCCTTCTCGGTTGCATAACAAATAACGTGTTGTAACCTTGCCATCACGGCCTCGCTTTAGTGTGCCTTGCCTCACAGAGAAGCCACATGTTCTCGCATAGGTCATATAGAAATGCACCCCTTCTGCTATTGTGTTGAAACGGTAACCGACAGCTGGGGTAATTGCACTATCCACGGTAGGCCACCAATATTTGACTGGTATACTGATGTACCCACCCGTGCCCACACTCTCTTGCCTCCAGTCAGCTGCGGGGGGGAAAAAAAAGAATTATCAACACCCGAATATGCATACCAAAAATGTTAGTTTGAGCTATTATATTATAATAACTGTACCCAACCAGCAACAGAGTCAACATGTATCCCCAAAAAATAGACAAATTGTAGCAATATGCAGCCTGCCAAAAGGTTCAGAACATCCATTGCATGCTACCCGCCACAGTTTTCATTAAATGCATACTTCCCCATGACTTAATTAAGTAAAATCACAAATTTAAAGGATAATAGGTATAGTAAATTCATACACGATCTGTACAAGAACCAATTGCTTCTTAACCGTAAAATACTTGCGCAAATAGCTATATCAAATAAGAAATGTCTTGATATGATTTCAAACGAGATCGTATAAATAAAAAAAAGTAGATTGTAAAGAATCCAACGGAATATTTTCAATGGAGTTCCCGGAGAATGAACTCCGGGAAGGTAGAGTAGAAATTACGATGATCAAATATGATAAAATAGTAAAACACGTTCAATCCAAAAAGATTTCTGATTCATTTTTTCCTTATGACACGATAATCAAATATAGATTCACGGATTTTTCGAGCAAAACACCAATCCGCATTTGAGTTCGGATTGGAATTATGATTCAAGTGAAGTAAGCCTATTTCTTTTTTTTGAAAACCCAAGCATACAACAGGATGCCACTATTGCTTCATAGAAAATGATGCCACTAATCTAAATTAAATCAAATAATTAATATGGATTACTATATATTCCAGTGGTGAGAAAATACCCTATCATGCTAATAATGTCCTTAATGTAAGTTATGGATTACTAGCTTCAGTAAGTTAAAAAAGTGTTCTAAAATCTTAGCCACCAAACAAGTAAAAGTAGACAATCTACTCTATAATCTCAAAACAACAGATTAGATAAACTTTATCAAACACTACCAACATGTATAACAACAATTACCGATCCTGAACAGAAAAATATGTCAATGTGATGTATACATGATGTTCCAAGTATTTAAATAGTCAGTTCATATACTATCATTCTAAGTGTTTCAGCAATCCATTGGTAATATTGCTGGCATAGCTACATGAGGCCCGATAGACATTCTGTAAAACTGATATGAACATTCAGTAGAAAGACAGCTGAACATTCCAATACTGAGCGTTTAACTTAAATGTGATGAAATTTTAAGTTCATAGATAATCAATATCCGATCCAACACACTGGGCTAGGGGAGCTTGGCTCATAGTACAATTCGCATAAACAAGCATTCCAAAAAAAAAAAATGGAAAATTCAGAATTCCTTTCCACAACAAAGCTTTAAAAATTAAATTTCAATTCGTTCTCAACAGTAGAGGTAGAAGAAGTTTTTCCGAACTATTTGAACTATTATTGGTGCACCGGAAAAGGTTATTGGTTGGCATGGTACTCTGTGAACATGGGGGACGTACCTGGTGGATTACCCGGAGGGAGTTGCAGCGGCGGCATGCCGTAGTCGCCGGTAGTCTCTGGTGCGGTGCTTTCCATGGTTCCACGCGCAAATCTAACCACTGCAAAAGTGAAAAGTCTCTAAACATAGCATTTGACAAAATGTAAGCTTAATTAACTTCATTAAATTCTGACTGGCTTTTGGATGTCAAGATCAGAAGAAGAGTTCTGGCTCGTCGGTGGTTTGCAAGCGCATAGGGTATTGGTGCACCGGAAAAGGTTGTTGCTTGTCATCATGCTGCTCTGTGAACATGGGGGACGTACCTGGTGGATTGCCCGGAGGGGGTTGCAGCGGCGGCATGCCGTAGTCGCCGGTAGTCTGTAGTGCGGTGCTTTCCATGGTTCCACGCGCAAATCTCTCCAGGGTATGTGCTACGGAAAAACAAAAAAAAAAAACACAAATGATGAACGACCGCATAGTTTGCAGGAAACACGCACAGTTTATTAAAATTAGTTTATCGCAAACTCTGAAATGCACTCCTACATGGCAGTGCACGGGAACTACAATGCACCAAATCTCCAACCGTCAGATCGCACAAATCAGTGCACCACAACAGTCCACTAGTTCACATTAAAACAAGGGTGTGCACCAGAAAAGAACCCTATATATATATATATATATATATATATATATATATATATATATATATATATATATATATATATATATACATATATATATATATGTATGTGTATATATATATATATATATATATATGTATGTGTATATATATATATATATATATATATATATATATATATATATATATATATATATATGTATATATATATATACATACATACATATAAATATATATATATATATATATATATATATATATATATATATATATATATATATATATATATATATATATATATATTTGCTGCTTTCGTGTAAATATATATGTATATTACTTATTTATTTATAAATAAATAAGTAATATACATATATATTTACACAAAAGCAGCAACAAAAACAGCCAACAAGTTTTCAAGACCGAATTAACATTTGTTAATTTCAAGCATGCGGCAAGGCCGAATCCTTCAAACGAAAGCACCGACTCGTTAAGCAACAAAATATACAAAACACAACAAATCTTTAAACAACAATTTGTTACAAACGAAACTATTGATTCGTTAATAGCTTTCAACTGAAACCGCCAATTCGTTATGTAATGCTTTGTGCACCAATTCGTCAAGTCTCGATTCGATACTACCGAATTGATTAAAGCATTGATTCGTTAAAACTAACGAATTATTAAACTTTGGTTCCAAATTATTTTTCCTAACTTACTTTCTACCAAACTAAAATAATATTTATAACTCCACAACTCCAAATATTATTTAAGCTTTCATGGTAGTCCATCTGAAACATTAATCTCCATTACTATATAAATTTCCAACATTTTCTAGTAGCAAGAAGAGTACAACCTCTAGAGGATGGTTGATAAAATGTAAGTTTTCCAGGTGAGTGCATAATACTAGAGTGTGTTTTAATAAGGCTTTTCTATCTTAATATTTTAGACATCATCCAAAAGAGGAAAAAAAATTTTGATGATGTTACTATTTGTAAAGTTACGGAATTTAGTATCCTCAATTTTTATAATTTTTTCATTAAGTTTGTTAGGACACTTTATAAAGACAAAATATGACTCAACTTATTCTTTTTAAGTTTAATTAGCAAATCTCGTTTTGAAGATATTATGATCAGCATATCGTTGTGCAAAAAAATTTTACTTTAGGAGAAGTCATCAAGTAGATCTCATAGCAATTGTCAATAGGAATGCTTCTAGTAGATCTTGATAGGTCATTTGGCAGATCCTTTCAACGGACATATAATTGGAAAATCAATAGAGGCTACTAAGCATATTTTGTTAAGGATATGTGTGGCTGACATTTTATCTCTTTATATTTGTGATAGTTATGCTCCTGTAGAATAGGGGTGTTTGAACAAGTTGGTACAACCTCTTACTATTCTCCCTCACTTGTATACTATTTATAGCTCGTTATTTTACATCTATGAAGTATAGTTTATAATCTTTACATGGTATCAAGAGTCTTGAATCTCCTACGAAGTTTTTTTTCTCCTACCCACATGGCTTCCACTGCTACAGCCACAAACGATATAATCCAACTGAATGCCCCTACAAACTTTCCCATTAAACTTACTACCATGAATTTCCCAGTGTGGAGACGTCAAGTCCACTCCACACTTGTTGGGTTTAATCTTCTGGGTTACATCGACGGTACCACCAAGGAACCGGCCAAATTCACTGATACTGCTCAAACTGTCGTTAACCCGGCCCATCTAATTTGGTATCGTCAAGACCAAATCATTGTCAGTGCACTTCTCGGTAGTTGTACTGACACCATACAA